CATACTCTGTCAAGACTAGAGAGAACCATTTCGTTAAGTCTTAATTCTCCACGGGCCTCAGGAAAAACTACGAAGGAAGAATCATTAGCATTAGCATTTGCTATCAAGCCGTATCTGACCTGGGTTGCTTAAAGGACCAGAATTTCTAAGAATTGCTCTCTTTTTATTATTCTGACATTTCCACTTACAAATACTCAGGCACACCCAGCATCTTTCAGAGATATTATGAGAAAGCAGATGGCTATAAAAATTCAAAGACTACAGTCTGCTTCACCTCCAGTTTTCAAAAAAAAAAAAAAAAAAAGAAGAAGAAATTATCCTACAGATGTTAATAATTGTGTGGGGTGGGAGTCAGGGAGGGGGAGGCTGGCTTCTAAGTAAACAATACAAAAAAAGACAAAGAGGTCCCTGCTGATGTAAAACAATAAAAGCGGTTTTCTCAGCAGTGTCAGCTTAGCGAGCCCGAGGGTCTGTATTTTAAGCCCCAGTGGCCTGACGTCACTCAGCCCGATGGTGTGTGTGAAGGAGCCTATCTCTGTGCGGCGACCGACCTGAAAAGTGTCTGCAAAGCCCAGTGGGCTGATGTCACTCACACCGACGGGGACGGCGGGATCTCTCAGGGTGGCAGCCTGCGGGGAGCGAGCGGCAGCACCAGCAGCCACCATCACTCACTCTGATGGCAGGGGGTCAGCTGGGATTCTTTGGTGGCCTCCCGGGCAATAGCTAAAAGGAAGATTTTGGTTCACACGTCAATGTCTAGCCAGAGAGCAGGGAGTATAAAACGTGATCTTTTTTTTTTTTTTTTTTTTTAAATTGGAGTTTGCAAGTGGCAGCAGTGCAGTCAGGAAGGGGAGTTTCCCTGCGAGGCTGTTGCATGTGAAAGTTACAATGGAGCTGGTGTTGCCTGGTTTTAATTTTTTTCTCCTGTATGAGCTGAGATGTTTCATTCCCCCATATGAAAGAGGGGGGCGGGAAATTAAATCCAGACAACTCAAACCACACTTTAAATTTCATGCACAATCAAACAGACTTTGAGAGTATTGTCATCTTCCTTACCAACCTGGCTGCCTTGTAGAGAACGTAAGTAAATACTGAAATCCCCAAGCACAATGTTTTCATGCTTGTTCAACTTTTAATGAAGAAATTGGCATTTGGGACAAAATCCCCAATTAAATTTAGCCTGATACTTATAGCCTAATAAGCTTTACAAATGACTTTCTAGGAGAAATAATCTTTGTTTCATTTCAAGTACTTGGGAAAAAGTAAGTGTAAGTAGAACTGCAGCTAATATTTCATCAGCAAGAGAAATCATTTTGCATGAAAGGGAGCCAAATAGTCATTCCTTATAAAGTGAGCCCTTAAAAAGATAAAATATATTTTCCAACAACAATAAAAAAGTAGTATTTGAACTAAGGTCCAGTCCTACAAACACTGATTAATGTGAATAGCACTGCACATTACGCTACTTCCATGCTTTCAAGTGTCAAAGGGGTCAGGATCTGGGAGCTACCAAGCACGGAAATGAGTTTCCATATGTGAAAGCCATACAACCAACAGCAAAATGGAACCGAGAACATGCAGCTATAACCACTATAATCAGTTTTCTAGTATGTTGCACCCCTTTTTACCAGCCATCATCAGTTCCTAGCCTCCTTAAACTGTAAAGATCTTTGAGACAGATCATCTAGACTAAACTGCAACGATTCACAATAATGACATATTCACARTAATGATATAAGGAATATCTGCGGAATTCTGCTAGCACTGCTAACTGCAGTTGAGACCCAAAAATGATCTGCATCAGAACTGACTTGCTCAGGCWCAGAGTGAAGCTTGCACAAGCATATTCTTACAAGAGAAAAAAAGCRAAAGGTTAAATTTTCCTCCTGAATTCTCACAATGTGTGCAACTCACATATGTGAAGAGAAAACATGACTCTAACTCTGCATAGTTAAGCTAATAAGCTTTCTCATAGAGTGAGACAATAGGAGCTGTGAGCATACTGTACAGCACAATAAGTGCTGGCACATGAACTGTTTCAATCTTGAGGGACAGCGTTTCACAGTATATCAGTGACAGAAGACCAGTTTGCAGCCAGAATTATGAATGAAAAGTTTAAGCTTTCGGAAAACTGTGGTCTTAGAATGAATTTTTGCAGTCACCTCAAAAATCTACTTTTATTGCATTATTTTTAGTATACAGCTTTAAACACTTTATTTTCCAGGACTGTGTATATACGCACACAAATTGATTAGCTTAASCTAAGACACGATGATTTAAAAGCTGATTATGTGTGTGAATACAYGTACATGATTTTAAACCAACTAGATAAAACACTATGTATCCAATTTAAAGTTACGTAGGAGCATTTTACAGGTGTGTTTCTAAATCTATTAAAAATTTCTAAGCCTTGAAAAAATAATCTCTCTTTCTCCCTYTCTTAGGCACCAGACTGCAAGGGACTGTTGGTGCATATTAATTTCACGGTAAACTGTGTGCTTGGAATTGCCACACATGCTGTCTCTGGAGAGCCAGGGTTATTTGTCTTGAAACAGTCTCTCCTGCGTTTGTGACCACTATATAACACTTGTTCAGCAACAAACACTATGGTTACATTTATGTGAGTAAATAAACGGTGCGGGGACCCTTGCATACCCCGATGCAGCTCTGCTTACGTGGCACAGCTCACATCCGCAGAGCTGAATGTCTTCCCCTCTCCTCCGCTGCTCCAGAAAAGCAGTCCAAAACCCATCGTGGCCTCATCCACACTGCTTATTAGGAACAGTCCCAGCCCGTGCTGCTTCCCAGACATTGTTTGGGACAGTGCTAATTGGGGAGGGCCAGAACCCTTCCAGACTGTGCGAGCAATTAGCACGGGGCTCGCTCACGTGCGCGGGCTGCAGCCTCGGCCCTGCGCTGCCATGGCGCTCCACATGCGCAGGCCTGCTGCTGCCCAGGCCAAGGCTCCGGCTCTCGGCAGCCTCYGCGGCGGGCTCAGCTAATGAGGTGGCCGTGCTGAACTCCCGCAGACGGTCGCAGCCTCCGTGCCAGGCCCCGTGTCCCAAGCCGAGGCAGCGACAGCGCCAGGAATGCAGCTGCGTGAAGCACGAGAGGCATCCGCACGCTGCCCAAACCACCCCTGACCACCTCGAGCAGGACAAGAAGGTGCCAAATACRAAAACTCTGGGAGCTGGATCTAGCCTGAGGGCGTTCAGTTGAGTTGTGGTTATCTGGTAGCTGAGGGAAACCTCATCAACCRCCCCAACTTTGCAGCTAGGCCCTAAGCCACCCTTCCCTTGCCTTCCAGCACCTCCAAAGTCTCCGTCCGCTTCCAGCCCCTGCCCAGACATTAAGAGAGGAAACAGAGGATGTTCCCTAGCTGAAGCATCACAGCAGGTACATGCTCAGGTAGCCGAAGCTGATCTGCATTGGTGTGGATGCTTCCTACAACCCTATGTCATTCAAGCTGCCAGGAAAAAAGTCTTTGGAAAGGGAGGCTAAAAAAGGCTTGGAGAAATACAGGCAACATATCTATCTTTACATAGTTGATGCTTTTTAGTGAAAGTACACGTTATTAGTCTGATAAGATACACAGTAGAAAAAAGATCTGAAAATCTTTGCGGAAGCTTTTCAAGTCTTTCTCTCAAAACACCTGAAGAAAAACTGTTGAGCTCGAAAGTTCAGAGGGGTTTTCCGTCTATATTTAATAAAAGGCATCACCTCCCCACATGAGGCAATTCATCAAGATACAAGATTACTCCTGTAACAGGAAAGCTTGCTTTCTGCATCTGGCTGTGATCATACTTGCTGATAGTTGAAAATGAATTTTAAAAACTCCTAACCTGTTAAGGCACCCAATTTGCAAACCACTGTTCTTAGTGTGTGTTTTATTATGCTGCCCAGAATGATTTTTCAGTTCTGTTCTGCAGCAGTACTATGTTTTAAAAGGGAATACAATCTATTTCTTTAATTTTCCTGAAATTCAGAAATATTTGAAGTGAAAAAAAAAGCATATTTGACTATATCTTTTAGTGGAAAGTCCTAGCAGGAGAGTTTACAAGAGAAAGTGTTTTGCAACCTTTGCCCAATATGAACACTGTGAAATACTGGCTCTAGGTCTGACATTTTATCAGGATTATATCACACAAGTTTGCTGCTTGAATTGGAAATTAATGTCCTGCTGATTTGATAACTGCGGAAAACACTTGTTGAAAGGCTGACTTTTCACTGGAACTATTATTCTTCTAACATCCTTTGTTCAGGGCAGAGAAATGCTGAATTTACTTGCCTCTATAGGGCTTTTGTGCCTGAGCCTAACAGGCTAGCAGCGAGCTCTGAAACAGAGCTGGTGGCTCCTGTGGTAGGAATATCACGACCTTTTAAACAAACTTATGGACATCATTAGGATGAAACTTGACCATTTTTCAAACCGTGAAAGGATTTTAGCATCAGAAACAAACAGTACTTTTAGGACTTTATTTCTTTCCCCCGCAGTGCTGCAGGCAGTGTCCCATCCCGAGGGCAGGCGGATCCTGCTCCAAGGACACCGCGCTCTCCGCACATTTTCCCAGAAACCGAAGGTCTTTGGGGGGGTTTGGCACCGCGCACAACAGCGCTTGATTTCTCATTTGTAGCTGCGTAGCTTCCAGCACGTTAGCACTGCTGTTCCCTTCCCAACGGGATAGAAACACGGGTGGGCTCCCAAGCCCGGCGCTCTCCGTTTGAAGGCTGCAAGCCGCCCCAGCACCGGCTAAAAACCAACACGGAGCGCCTCAGAACCGAGACCATGGGCACATTTGTCACGGTAATCCTGGGAAACACGCTAAATCCCGCTCCCGCCGCCGCTTCCACGCGGATATAGGGAGACTACGCGTGGTGCCCCAGCCCCCTGCTGCCTCCTGCCCCCCCGCCCCGCGCGCGCTTCGCGTTTCCTGTCCGCCCGGAGGAGGTTTGTCCCTGCGACGCCGCCGTTCCGCAGCGTCGCGGCAGCGTCATGGCGGCGGCGCTCTCAATGTCAGCGGCTCTGCGGCGCCTGGTCGCGGCGAGCGGGGCGGCCGCGGGCCGCGGCTCCGCCGACAGGTAACGGGGGCGGCCCGAGGGGCGGCCCGGGCGCCGCGGACAGGGGCGGCCGCCCGCGCGGGGAGCCTGACCCGGGCGCAGGACGCCGGGGGCGCCGCGCAGGCCCCGCCGCCGGGACGAGGCCTCCCGCGCGTCCTCCCACCGCGCCCGGCGTCCTTGAGGCGCCCGCGGGAGGGAGCGAGGAGGCCCCGCGGTGCCGGCGGCAGCGCGCCAGCAGGAGGCCGGGCAGAGCGGTGGCCGTGCCCGCAGCACCGCGGGCCTCCCCGTGATCCGCGCCCCGCTCCCGTGTCCTGGCCCTTTTYCTTCCCGGGATCGGCTGCTTGAGGCTCTGGAGATGCGTGTGTGTGTGTATGTGTATATGTGTATGTGTGTATATATGTGTATGTGTGTATCTGTGCTTGTCGGGGGGCTGAAGTGTTTGCCAGGCCCACTTTCCTTCTTGTCAAGAGAAAACAGTACAGTTCAGTGCAGTTTACTATGATTTGGACACTTTGTTTTTCCGTAGTCCTGAAAACATGTAGTAGTCCTTACATGAAAACCCGTGTAAAAAATAATGCTAATTCTCATAATTCATCATATCTGTGGGTGTTTATGTATATTCAGAAACTATATGAGCAAATATATAAGGGGTAAGAAAAGCACATTCCTAGTTATACTACTTTTTTGTACTCATTTTATATGCCGATTCTCTCACATGTTCCTGCTGCACCTTCCTGAAATGGTGGCCGTCTCTCAGTGCTTGAAAATAGTTCTTACTTGATTTAAAAACAAAACTTGGGAATCTCAGGGTATCACAGAATCACAGGTTGGCTGAGGTTGGGACTTCTGAAGATCATCTCTCTCATGCCTTTCATGATAATGGGTCATTTTTGTCTCTTTTCAGTGATGGGTGATGTTTCTTTGAAATGCGTTGCTTGCTTCTTGTGAGTCAGTTGTAAAGAGTCTTCAGCACGGTCACAAATATTTTACTAGTTCATTATAAATGGACAGCTAAGGTTATGATACTAAAGACAAATCTGGACATTTGTGTAGTAGAAACTCTGTTATTCAATTTATGCTGCATTTTTAGGAGAATGGGGAAACCTGGAATGACATTTAAATCTTATTCTTCAGTTGACAGGCTTCAAGAGTTGTCCACTTTGTTGTCAAAGAGTTTTCCAAGAGTTGAGAACTCTTTTACTGTGAGTGTGGTTGAGCAAATTGTCCAGAGAGGTTGTGGAGCCTCCATCATTGTCAAAGCCTGACAGGACATAATTCTTTAAGAATTCTTTCAAAAATTCTTTAAGACAGTTTTTCTCTTGCAGTGTAAATGGTGTTTGTACATAGTTTCGTTTTGATTGTTTAAAGGGGAAAATATCAAAATATACACTCATCTTGAATTTTACATTTAAATTTAAATACATGTGGAAGTACTGTGTTGAATCAGATTATACTACTACACATATAACAACTGTGAGCTAAAATGCAGAGTAAAGCTCCAGGGAGTTTCCTACTCATAAGATTGCTGGAGTGACATGGAGCTATGGAACAAATTCAAGGTGAAAGCTGTGGCGAGACAAACTGACATAGCAAGAGGAAGAAGAGATGAAATGTGCTGCAGTTCCTACAGTTAATGAGAGTAAGCATAAAAAAAAGCTCCAGGCAGCAGAGTTTGTCTGAACTTGCAGATAGGCTGAAGCAATAGTTTGGGGGAAATAGATGTTCCATGTATCTCAGTGCGCAAGTCATTTGAAACATCCACACTATGCAGACAGCGACTGTGTGAATGAGGGAGGGTCTAGCAAATCTTGTAGGTTCACTGTGACTGAAAACATGGTCTGTGTTTATGTTTTTCTTGTCACTTGCCTCTTCAATGATCGTCTGGTCTGTGTTTTTCATGAARGAAGAACCTCTTACTTCATTGGCTCTGCATGCAGAGGGAGCAAGGAAGAGATATGGAACATCTTAAGTCCTACGTTATACAGGATCTCATATTGCTGGTTCATCCCTCCCGATTTCAGACCTGTAAGATCTGAGCACGGCCAGCAGCTTGCTGGTGTAGTGATGGCTGGTGTGTGGTTCATGGATATGCCCCTTTATTACTAGGTTATAGGGTTGTGGTGAACCAGTACAGTGTTTCTGTTTCCTTGCTTTTAGTTTCCCTATTGGGCTTTATGGGCAGTAAGATGTAAGACAGTTCCTTGTTTGCTGTGGGGTGGAAAGCTTTGGAAGGAAGATGTTAAGTGTAAAGAAACATTGGAGCCTTAGAATGTTGCTCATCAAAACAAGGATTTCTGCCTCAGCTGAGAAAAAGATTTGATTCCTGATGAAATATGTAGAATCTAGAATTTGAGAAGTGAAAAAGTGAAAAATACCCTATAACATATATTTTAATATTTTTTTTTAATGCACAACTACTGTTTTCTAATGAGCTAAGGTCATTTGTGCACTTTGGGATTTTCATAATGTTCTTAAAGCTCAAGTAGTTTCCAGATGAGGACGAGGGCAGGGAGAAGGAGTGAAAGAAAGAGGGCCAGAAAGGAAAACAGGTTGGAACAGCTAAAGTTTGAGCATGGGGGAAGGGAGAGACTTGTTGCTCTGGAAATGTCTGTCTTTCTAATGAAATTACAGACAAGTAAATAGACAGAGCAGGAGGCGATGACAGCAAAATGTTCCTGATGAGACTTCCTAAATTGCTGTTCCTTGTTGGGCATGTAACTTGGAGCGACTTATTTTAATTGCATCTGTTTCCTTCCCTTTTGGAATTGGAAACCTAAAATACCCAAGTGGGGAGGATGACAGACAGCATTTTTAGCTAGAGAAGGTTTAATGAAGCAAAGTACAAAGATGTTTAGATATGGTTGTATTTAAAGCTAGCTTTAATAAATAAGCTATGTGCTYACTTCTGCACTAGAAAAACTGAAAGGTTTCCTCACTAGTCTCTGGCAGTTAAGAGCTTTGGTTTGTTGACCGCTGACCACTTACCTATGTAGAATATCTTTTTTAAAAAAGGTTATTCTAGTGTGCAATAATACTATCTTCTAAATCTGCTGGTGTGAAAATTTAGAGAATAGTGGAGTTTAAGAAACAAAAAACAAAGAAACCCTCCCCCCCAAAAAAAAACCTGATGGCTGAAATTCACTGGCAGTCATATATAAACCAAAAAGACATAGTCCCTTCCTTTAGTTACATTTGAAAGTTATGCTTCTTTTGTTTCAGTATTTCCTAATACCAAATGTGTTGTACATTTAAGCTTGAAATAAATGTATTTATATGGCTTGTACAAGCAATCTCAAAGTATAATTAATACCATGTATCTCACTAGTGTGCGTGTGTGGCCTTTTGCTTACAATTAATCACCACTGAAAACTGTAATCTAGTGTTTTGGGGAGGGAGCTATAGGTGCAGATCTAGTAATCAGTAGGAGTTATTAGACTAATGTATAAATATTCTCCCATTGCACCATGGTAATCTCACCCGTTGGTATGTTAAGCAATGAATGGTAAGGATAGAAACTCTTTTGAAGTCAATTTAGTCAGTCTCTTAAAATTTTGAGCACATTTTCAATTTTGAGCTTTTTTTTTCTTTTTTGCTGATGTCTTTGTATATCTTACTCTATGAACAAATCATCTACTTGGTGCAGTAATTTCTAATCTTCTACAAACTTGTGTCTTTTTTTCAATGGATCTGTGAACTTTGAGAATATTTGAAAGTGTTAGCCATAAGGTAGATCTTTGGAGATACAAAACCAAGGTTGATGCTTACATCTGTTTATGAGCAGCATGTAGCCTTTTATAGTATGCTTTGTGCTGATCTGGCGTGAAGATCTTCAAGTACAGATATTTTTCTTGATCACAAACTGTGTGTTCATGGTTCTTTAAAATAGAACCAGGTCTGTTTACACTTTTTTTATTCTTTTTCTATAATAAAGCCTGAAATTAAACTTGTAGTGTTCAGAGAAAAATTGGAAAAGAAAGATATCCCTCTCCCATATAACCCATATATATGCTGCATTATCATGAGAATAATTCAGTGAATTTCAGTAGGCTTTTTAAATTTTTCCTTTCTTGAAAGAAATTAGAATTGAGTGTGTTACAAGATATATGACTSAACTGTCTGGAAATCACTTTGTTTATTGTTTCTATCAAAAGATGCAAGCGAATAGTTAACGTCATCGTCTCAATGATACGATTAAAGCTACAAAATAGGAAGTGATGTTTTGTTACAAAGCTGGTTGGCAGTTTTTGCTAAGGAATGAATAGTGTGCTATGAGTTTCAGAGTGCAGTTCTTCCTTCTTGACAGTACTGCAGTATATTTAGGTACTGTTTTGTTAACAAGCCCCTTTCTAGCTGCAGTAATTTGTGTCTTAGTCTGCCCTTGCCCTGTATGTGATGTTGAGGAAGTAAATTAACTTTTGACTAAACTAGCCAGACTGTGGGCAGCTCCAGAATGTGTGTGGGCAAACACTTCTTGCAGCTGCTTCTTCTTGTAATGTTAACATGGAAGATCTTATGAACAGCTTCATACTTGTTTTCAAAGTGAGACTTGATGTATTCCATGTAAAGCAACCCAAGACCTTGATTTTAGTAGATTATACGCAACATATGTGTACTTTTCTTTATAATGTCCCATCACATGCTCATCATGCCATTTGTATTAATATCCAAAGCCAAAATTTTATTGTACAGAATAATTTATTTTTTTTCCTCATTTCCACTTATTTCAGTAGCTTGAATTATTTGGAGTTTTAGTGGAGTTACTGCTTTGTTTCCTCTGTATAAAAAGCAGTTGAAACAACTTGTTAATGTTTAGAAATAATCCTTTTAGTTACAGAATCAGAGATGTTGAGCTATTTAAAGACCCAACCATAGGCAAGTGGCTTGTTGCTTTCAGTAGAACCACCATCTTTTCAAAGTGAGAAAAAAAATAGTTTATCTTCAGTTTTGACTAGTCTGTCATACATTCCGGGAGTCTTTGCATGTTCTGTGTAAGTTACCTGAAGAGAAACTTTGCAGCAGTT